AAAAAAAAAAAAAAAAAAAGCGTAACATTTGAGGATATTACTGGCAGGAAATGAAGCAGTACACATGCAGAAAAAAAATAGAATAGTTAATCCTAAATTCTAACATTCCTAAAGGCTAACATTCTTTAAAACAATAAAAAAAATGTTTTTAGTGATTGAAAAAGCAGATATTAAATAAGATTAAAAACCTAACTTCAATTATTGGAAATGTTGCAACTAAGGCTGGCCACACACCAGACGATTTTCAAATCTTAACCGATTTTAAAACCATGGGATACCACAGACAAAGACAGTTTCAATGATTTTTAGCCATGGGCCATGTTCTTTCTTAGTACTCTGCTTTTGTGGCTTAGCATGTTAGCATTTTAAACATGTTAGCAAACAGCTAACATGTTTGATATTTATGATTTGAGTTTGGGGATGCTCTGACTCGATTGGGAGCAGTTTAATAATCGTAACGACACCACACAATAGAGGATTTTTTGGACAGAATTCGTTTGCGACAAGCCTTGAATCGGACCACACCCCCTGATCGTTCGGGGGAGCAAATCGACCTTAAAATTGGCCTTAAAATCTTTTAAAAAATCTATTGTGCAGCCAGCCTAACTGAAATAAGACGAAGTACTAAAATTGCTTTAAAAAAAGTACCAAAAGCCCAAAAATATCAACAACCTAAGCTATATAAAAACTAAGGCTAATTCCGAATATTAATCAATGGCGATTCAATTGCCAAGGTGTTCGTAGAGGGCTGAATTACACATTTAAGTACTGAGTAATATTAATTAACTACATGTACTTACTATATGGCTGAGGTTAGGATTAGAGTGTAATTATGCATAATTAAGTGTTATAATAGTAAGTACATTTAATGTGTGTAACAAGGACACCTTAAAATAAAGTGTTACCATAAATGCTTTAATAGTAATTTAATGATACTGAAATACCACTGTTGTAAGGAATCTTCGACCCTTCACCATAGCTCTCAAATGAGACTGATTTTTCATTGATATTCATTGGACATTTGGTCATAAAACCCAAAAAGCAACAGAATCTGATGAAGTGATTGATGCCCAACCTGACACGATGGTTCTAAAGGTGCCATGTTTGATTGAAAAAACAAAACAAAAACAACCCCTCCCACGTGAGACACCATGAGGGCGAGTATATAAGAATTTTTGCTTTTAGAGCAAACTACTAAAATCTGTATACCAACCTGGTGGACAGACCATCTGCGCAGGTTTCATGGGCTGCGCCGACACAATAGCAGGATCTAGAGGTGGCCCCTCAAACTCTAGCATGGAGTCCTGCGTTACATTACAGACGAGTTAGAAAAGACCACTGCAACCCTTGAAGTGTTATGAATGATACATTCTGCAGTTTACCTGCATGAAGTTGAAGGTACCCTGCATTTGAGCCATGAGATCTTGGACTGCCTGCTTTCGGACCACGGGATCTGTTGCAGGGGGAGGGAGGACGGCGTTCAGTGTGTGTGGTTCTGAGCTGACCAGAGCCGGGCTCATGGCTGCAGGTGGCTGCTGTGGTTGCTGGAGGGCACTAACTGCCTAAAAAAAGCAATGATCACAGTGTAAACACCATTTGGTCAAAGGTTGCTAACAATTCTGGTGCTTTCTTTGACAAATCAGGTCTACTATACCGGAGAACTTGTGTTCCACTCTGCTCCTTGTTCTTTGTCATTGCTGCTGTAGGTGGTTTCTGGAATGAACTGTCTGTTTACAAACTATAAGGAAAAAGACGTGCGGGTCATTAAGAACATATGACTGCAGTTGTGTAGTTTGGAGAATGTTTTCTTGCCTTCCAAAAAACCAGGATTTACATAAAGCATGCACATAGTAGTAGTATATATTTATTTAATGCCATGTCAGCATCTTATGCTATTTTCATGGCAAAAACAATTAAAAAAATACAAGTATAACAAATACAATAAAAACCAGCAAACAAACAAGTTATATTACACAAGTTTTTTTTTTTTTTAAAGCATGCACATAAAACAGGGCTTTTCACACTGCGCTTAACATCGGTCTAAACTCCATTTTAAACCCCAGGTAGAGGAATGTTTCACACTTGTAATTCAGAAGCGGGTTAGCACTGCTTTTTACCTATGGTTATGAAACCCAGCTCGCGAGCAGGGTTAGCATAGCTTTTGCCAAACTTGTGTTAGAATGTTTCAGCTAGATGCTTAGCAGCAAACACTAGCATTCTCAGCTCTGTCAAAATGAAAGTCCCTTGAACTGTCAAAATAAAAGTTTGATGAATCAGCCAAACTTATGGCAATAAAAAAATGCAGTGTAAAAAAAAATGAAGCAAGATAACCAGGTGTTCCTCACACGTCCTGAAAAGTGAAGCTGCAGGCTCTTTGATCGCCCACTGGTGGCTGGCTGCAGTACAGGTCATAAACCCCACCCTCTCCATGTAAACGAATGGGACTTCAGTCAAAATAAAAAAATTAATTATGCTTCCAATACAATTTTCCGAAAGATGGTTTTGGACATTTAAGGTAGTTGTTATCATGCTGATATATGTTAAATTGTTAGTTTTTGTGACAAGTTTGATTTTAGCTAGTAATTTGATGCTATAAAAACGGGGCGTGTCGTTACGGTTGATTGGGTCTGCGGGAGTTTGATACCGCGGCTCCACCTCACGACACTACTCACGACTCTGGCTCCAAACGAATCTCTACTGCGCAGACTCGGGCTGCAAACGAATCTCTACTGCGCAGACTCGGGCT